AAAAAAAAACCCACCCCTAAACCAAACAAAATAAACTCCAGAACTGCTTAAGAAAGTAAACCTTCATGCTTAGCCCTTTGTTGACTTTGGACATTCTCCAAAGCCTACAGTGGCCCAAAGGCTTGAATAGGCAGTATTCACTCATCTGTGGGTGATAAATCTAAAACCTTGTGACATGGTTTGGAAATGGAGACTTCCCGTCAGAGAACTGTCATAAAGGCATTTCCAAAAAGGGCTCTGATCAAAAAATGCTCAGACAAGCAGGCCACCAGAATGCACTGAGATAGCTCCTTCTTAGATGCAGTTCTGAAGACAGATGGGAGGTCTGATACCAAAGCAGTGAGAAGATAACGCATTTTAGTGTTTTGATTCATTGACTTCCTGAGTTAATTAATTTTTCACCTTTTTCTGTATAAAGGCAGAACCAAAAGTTAAAGTGCAATCTATTATTTTTATTATGTAAATGTCTTCACATTTCTGTATTAGTGATGTTCCAATAGAAGGCAGTCCTCTCCAGGTGTATTTTTGTGTATACTGTGGTTTGATTTTTAGTTCTTTTAATGAATAAAAATAGTAAAATGAGTTTGGACATAGTTAAATCCGTAATTTTTTTTAGACAGTGGTTTATTTGTTTTAATTAATTTATGAATAATATGCTGTATCTTACACAGGTAGAGTATGAGTCTTTAAATCCCCATATACCAGTTACATTTAAAGTACTGACAGAATCTGCCACATTTGACATTGACGTCGATGGAATCATCTCAACAAAAACCGAACTGGACTATGAATCCCAGAATAATTACATCCTAAATATTTCCTTGTCAGATGGAAATGCTACTGACTATGCTACAGTGTTTATCAAAGTTACAGATGTCAATGATAACAGTCCTGTGTTTGATATAACCAGCACCACCATCAACATTCTGGAGAACACACCAGCTGGAACTAGTATTACCAGTGTGTCAGCTACAGATGTGGATGAGGGCTTTAATGGAATTGTGGTTTATACTTTGAAAGGTGGAGAAGGAAAAATGGATATTAACACCTCAGGAATAATTTTGCTGGAAAAGGAACTGGACAGAGAAAAACAAGGCTTCTATAACGTAACAGTGATTGCCAGTGACCAAGGCCAACCTGCGTTGTCTACAGCTCTTAATTTCACAATCGTCATTGACGATGTGAATGACAACCCTCCAGCCTTCTCATCAAGTAGATATGAAGTGAGTGTCCCTGAAGACGAAGTGCTTGGAAGGGCACTTCTGACAGTATCTGCTACTGATTTGGATGCTGGGGCCAATGCCCTGGTGAAATACAGAATTGTTAGCCAGCAACCTCCGACCTCCTCACCGGTGTTTCTCGTCAATTTGACCACGGGCCAGGTCAGCCTGAGCCAGCAGTTGGATTATGAAACCATAAAGCAATTTGAAGTAGAAGTGGAGGCATCAGATGGAGGGCAGCCGAGTCTCAGGGCTACAACGCGTGTTGTTGTGCATGTACTAGATGTCAACGATAACCCACCAGAATTTAATCGGGCAGCTTATGATATATTTGTGTTTGAAAACCTACAAAAGGGTAGTCCTATCTACACATTCAGTGTTACTGACAAGGACGAGGTAGGTACCAAATTAATCTCATCCTGATAAATAAAAATAACATGGTTTTCTCTATTAATCTGCAAAAGCCGTAGTAGTAGATGGGCAAAAGGAGGTTTCTTAAGTGGTTGGCAGTAAGTACATCTTGGGTCATAAAAACTTCATCTTGCTTTCTATGGAGCCAGCAATGAAACTTCCTTAACCAAGGAAGTGAAGACATTGTACAAAATAGTTTACTGACCCGATCAGAGAAGCTAGGG